TTTTATAACGCGTACATCACAGTTTTCTCCAGCTATTTAACCATGGAAACACATGATTGAAATGTTCATTTATATCTTATTCAGGAATATTTACTTGGAGCTTGCATGCACAGAGAGTGCTATGAGTGAGGCAAAGGTTAATTAGAATGCAGAAACTTTATTCTTAATAAAAATACACCGCAAAACGTCGATACTTTGGACTTGTATTATTCTGTTTCATGAGGTCATCCCTTTACAATGAAATCTTTTCAAACACTTACTCAATGGATCGTTTTGCATTGGAAATTGAAAAACATATGGTAAAGAGATGAATTAACCAAATGGTGTCTTCGTGTCTTGGACATGTAAAGACATTTCAGCGTTCGAGTTTTGAAGATGTCTTAAAAGAAGAAATACCCACTCCTGCACCATAACATCAAGTCGTTCTGCAACTTTTAAGTGATTAATAATATAACTAAAAAATTACGCTCTTCTGATTGGCTGAAAAACGAGTCCATTTCTATCTGTAATAAAACACATGCAAAAGTTTCAGCATGCTCAATGGCCGAGAACACGTCAATTAATCCCAGACAATGCAGAAAATTGAAATTGAGTGTAGAATGTTGAAATTGAGTGCAGAGAATTGATATTGAGTACAAAAAGTTAAAATAAAATGCAAAAATTTGAAATTTAATCAACAGATTGACAGTTAAGTCGCGAGTGCGAAAAGACAAACAGTGGCGGACAGTTCTGGAGAAAGCTGAACAACTTTTTAAATTTAGAATTAGAAGGAAATTGCTGAAAACAACATTAAAAAAACAGCAACAACGAAGAACAAACAAGTGGCCAAAAACCTGTCTTCTAAAAACGGATATGAAAGTATGAACCGGAGCTCGAGGCCCTTACTAAAACTCTCAATGAGTGTTACGCAACATTTCGTTGGAGAGACGGGGAAGATTACAAGCGTGATAGCTTTCCTTGACGTTTCGTGTAATGGTTATTGCGATCAACTGAAACATAACAGGGCAAGAATACAAACGTTAAATCATTCTTGGAGAGGTTTTAAAAGCTTAGAGCAAGTTCTTGAAGAAAAAGCCTGACTACTCCGGCAACAAGGCAAAGGCAAGCGGCTGAACTGGTGATCCATGACAATAAACGAAAAAGAAAAATGAAAAATGACCAAAAAACAAAAAAAAGAAACTAGAAATAAAAGAAATAAAAAGGAAAAAAGAGTCATATTTTCTCTTGTATATTATTTACTCGTAATCATGATTTTCCCCGTGCAATTTGAGATAAATCAGTACTCATAATTTTTTTAACAGATGTTAAATTTCACTCGCCCTGCAGGCTCGTGCAAGTTGGTTTGCATTTGAAAAACTTATTCGTGCTAATTTATCCCAAATCGCGCTCGAGATCATGTGACTACCTATACAAATTGTTCAAGGAGAGAGGGGGGGGG